GCTTCTAATGCCTTTCCACAGTTTTTGTTGTTTCTCCAAGTTCACAGAGTTTCCAGAGGCATGTGGTTTAGGAAATGGATGTCATTCCTGCTTCTCAACTTGTTTTACAACTGGGAGCTCCACCAAACACTGCCCACAATGGGAAACCATTACGGTATTTGATATCCCCATGGCACAAGGTTCAGCATCACAGCAAATCCAGGTTACCTCACCCAGCACACTGACAAAGAGTGATGTGAAAAGTAGAAGAATGTTCCTTCAGATATAACAGCACTAGTCTCACTTAACAGTGGGTAAGTATGTTGAGTCAAATACCACTCAGAGTAAGCTTTGCACAAAAGACCTGAACTCTGTTCTATAATTAACATCATTTATAAGTTTGTAGAGTTTACAGAGGCATCTAGTTTAGGAAGTGGATGCCACTCTTGCTTCCCAACATGAATCAATCTGGAAGCTCATCCAAACATCGTACATAATGGGTAGTAACCATTATAATATTTGACACAACTACAGAACAGTGTTCAGCATCACAGCAACTCCAAGTTGTTCAGTATAGCAAATAAGCAAATGATTATACTGTTTCTTTTAAAGACTATTCATTCTAAAATTAACAAAATTAACCCACTTTTGAGGGGGGGAAAGAACAGTAACACACAATAAACACAATCCCAGAAACTTCCCATGACTGCCATTGAGACCACCATTGAGATGCTAGCTAGCCAGCCCAGATGCTCATGAGATAAAAAAATTCACAGCTTGCATCAGGCACACCTTAATTCTCAAAGTACACTATAAAGACGACTGTGGACCCAAATAAAATTGAGGTCTTTATTTTTGTTTATATTGAGGCATATTCTGTGGTGAAGGCAATATAGTCTCTGAGCTTCACCAGTCTTAAAGTCTTCTTTGCTTTCAGCAAGTAAGTTTATGTTATCTGCATGTCCTAGGTTATTGAAACTTCCTTCAGCCCTGATGTCACATTTTTCTTCATGTAGTCCAATTTCTGAATTGTTATTTTCAGCAGGTTGAATAAACATGGTGAAAGGATACCTGAAGTGCATCTTTCCTGATTTTAGGTTACACAATTTCCCCCATTCTGTTCAAATGACTGCCTTTATGTATCTAGTCAATACATAGGTTTCCAATGAAGACACTTAGATGTTTTAGAATTCCCATTCTTCACAATATTATCCATAATTTGGTCTGATTAATACAGTCAAATGCTTTTGTAGTTAAGATAACAAACATCCTTCTGATATTCTCCACTTTCAAGCAAGATTCATCTGACATTAGCAATAAAGATCTTCCATTCTACATCTTCTTCTAAATGTCAGTTTAATTTCTAGAAGTTTCTTGCTGGTGCTCAGCTGCAACCATCTACCCACCCACACCCGTTGTTGTGTATCATTGTGTCAGATCCAACTGGCACAGGAAGAGATTGCCTATCCTTTTCCAGCATAGCACTTGGTGGATTCGAACCACGCACCTTTGGGATTGCAGCACAGCTTCATGCCATTAGGCCACCAGAGTTCCCTTGCAACCATCTTTAGCAAAATTCTGCTTGTGTATATTAACAATATTGTTCGATAATTAATACATTCTGTTGGATCAGCTTTCTCTGGAATGGGTATAAATATGGATCTGTTCCAGTTAGCTCATTAAGTAGCTGTTTCCCAAATTTCTTGACATAGATGAATGAGCACTTTCAGTGTTTCGAGCACTTTCAGTGTTTCACTCATTTGTTGAAACATCTCAATGTTATTCCATCAATTCTGGGAGTTTTGTTTTCTACCGATGCCTTCAGTACAGCCTGGACTTCCTGAGTGAAGAAGATGAAAAGAATATAGAATACGTGGCTAATTCCTCCATGAACAGAACTGTACAGTGCCTCCCTGCCATTACTGAATATTTTGACCAAAAATTCTATAGAAGAATCTTGATCAAAAAGAAGAAGGTTAAAAAAAGACAGAATTTTAAATTATGACACTCTCTAAGGTTTCTGGAGTCAGAGAAGCTAAAACCAAAATTATTTTGTGCTCAACTTGACGGAAATCAATAACAACAACAATCTTTAAAACTAAAGACAAAATCATTTCTGAAGTCCTCTTAAAAAAAAAATAGTTTAGCCTAACTAGTAAAAAAATAGGTCTGCCTTGAGAACTAATCTCTTTTAAGAACTATCTAAACAACAATAACTCATTATTGTTAAGTAAATTCTGACTCATAATGACCCACAGAACTGCTTCATAGAGTTTCCAAGGATCCAGAGAAGTATCATAATGGAATGTGCAAAGAGCTGGAGTTGGAGAATAAAAAGGGAAGAACCCATTTGACCTCTCTAAAGGTAAAAGAACTGAAAAGCAAATTCAAGCCTCGAGTTGCAATACTATGGGCAAAATCTTGAATGATCCACAAAGCATCAAAAGAAGATAGAGAAGCAGAGAGGGGAGGATGAGTGGCATGGGAGTGGGGGGCATTAACCATAGGGTCATACAATTTGATGGGTGAAGGGAGGAAGGGGTGAAGGAAATGGGAAAGATCCGGTATGAAAAGCAATGTATATGCACGTTGTAAATAAATCAGTATAAAATTAAAAAAAAAAAAAACACAACAAAAAAAAACCAAAAACCCAAAAAATTCTCTTAACCCTAACCCAAGAAAGTTAAGAAGATGTAGAGAAGACATAGAATCACTGTACCAGAAGAGCTGGTTGACACTGAAATATTTGAGGACAGGGTGAAACCAGGCTGCTCTTTGGAGGCAAGAATTCTGAAGCTCCATCTGAAATACTCTGGGCATGTTGCAAGGAGAGACCAGTCCTTGGAGAGGGACATCGTGCTTGGGAGGGTGGAGGGACAGTGCAGGAGAGGAGGACCCTCAATGAGGTGGATTGATTCAGTGACTGGGGTCAAGGGGTGGGTGGCTGGAGACAGTAAGTTGGCTCAGAATAGAGCAGCATTGCTCTATCGGAGCTGTTGTACATAGGGTTGGTATGAGCTGCAGGCAACTTGATGGCACGTAACAACAACTACCATATGATAAAGAGCCAGTGGTAATAAAGGAAGACCTTCCAGCTGCATTGACAAAACATAAGCCTCTAGGAATCAATGGGAAACCAATTGACATGTTTCAACTAACAGATGCAGCCCTGGACACTCACCAGTCTATGCCAGGAAAATTTCGAAAACAGCTATCTGACAGAATGACTGGAAGAGATACATATTTGTTCTCATTCCCAAGAAAGGTGATAGAAGAGAAGGTGGAAATTATTGATCAATATTGTTAATATCACATGGAAGCACAATATTGCTAAAAATCTTTCAAAAGTGACTAGAACAGTATTGACAGAGAACTGCCAGAAGTTCAAGCTGGATTTAGAAGAAGCCATGACACCAAGAATATTACTGCCAGTGCCAGATGGATCCTTGCTGAAAGCAGAGAATACCAGAAGACTATCTGAGTTTTATTGACTATAGAAAGGCATTTGACTATGAAGATAGTAACAATTTATTACTAACATTGAGAAAAAATGGAAATCCCAGAAAACTTAATTGTGCTCATATGAGACCAAGACCAAGACCTAGACCAAGAAGCTATTATCCAAAGACAGAAAGGTTTAAAATCAGAAATCTGTATGTCAGGATTGTATCCTTTCTCCATATCTATTCAGTCTGTGTGCAGAGCAAATCATTCATGAAAGTGAACTCTGAAGAGGAATGTGGCATCAGGATTGCAGGAAGATTCATCAATAACCTAAACAATGTGGCTGGTACAACCTTGCTTGCTGAAAGTGAGGACAACTTGAAATAATTACTCCAAGGATCAAAAACTGCAACCTTCAATATAGATTTCAATATGGAAAACAAACAACAATAGGCAAAATAATAATAGATGGGAAAAAGATTTAAATTGTCAACAACTTCATCTCACTTGGATCCACAATCAATATACTTGGTACCAGCAGTCAGGAGATCAGAAGACACTGCATTGGGCGAGTCCATTGTCAGGGATCTCTCCAAATTACTGAGAAGCAGTGATGTCAGTTTGAAGATTAAGGTACACCTGACTCAGGCCATGGTCTTTTCAATTACTTCTAAGCATCTAAGAGCTAAGAGACAATGAATAAAGATGATAGGAGAAGAATTGATGCCTTTAAATTGTGGTATGGGAGAAGAGTACTGTGTAACCCATGGACTGTCAAAAACCCAAACAGGCATGCCTACACATCTCACGCACTTTAGGCATGTTACTAGGAAAGGTTATTCCTTGGAACGTGACATCATGCTTGGAAAGATGGAGAGTCAGTGAAAGCCAGGGAGACCTTCAACAATATTGACACAGTGACTGCAGCAATGGGTTTAAGTATGTCAGAAATGGTGAGGATGACACAGGACAGGACAAGGTTCAGATCTGTTGTTCATATACAGGGACACTATGGGTTGTACTAGACTCGACAGCACCTAGCAACAATCTTCAGAGAAGAGGAGTATTCAAATCTTGCTCCTGCAAGGGAGCTGGTGTGTTTGAACTGTCAATCTTACTATGTAGCCAAGCGTAACTTGAAAGATTAGATAAGAAACTTAGGAGACAGTTTATGTCAACACGGGAGGACCAATTCAGAAAAAGATGAGATTGTAGTATAACCTCAAGAATATTATTAATGTCACTGAATTCTACATGTAGGAATGGTGATATTAGTTTGTTTTGAAGTGTATATTCTTGATAACAAAGTAAATTTTTAAAGGAACATTTCAAATTATAATAGTTTCACAACTTTGAACATATATGCTCTCTATGTTCTATAAGACATATGGCCATTTCCTAGAAATGGACACTCAAACTCTGAAGCAACACAGAGTGCTGAGTGAGGTCTAGAACCACGTTCTTTCTGTTAAAGAATTAGTTATACAAACTCTCCTACATGGAGGTGATGCACAGGAAACAGTGAGCTTGGTCAAATTTCCCAAATTGTTAAAAAAAAAACACACTCCAAATAAGGCTTTTTAAGGCTTTTGGCAGGGACATTTTATTTTTTTTGGTTAAAGCCACAATTGATAAAAATCTCATAAAAACGAATATGTAAACAAGGTATCAGAACTTTGGTTCACTGGAACATCTCACACCTAAAACATCTGAGGTACAAAGGCACCTTGCTAGGTGCTAGACAGCCTGATGCTGCGGCAGCCACTCTTGACTCTGCCCTTCGGGACCAGCGATGGCACGGGCTGACCAGAGAGGGTAGCTGGGTCAGTACCGACCCAGGTTACCCAGGATCCTCCCCGGTCTGCTCTGCCTTGGTGTTGGACAAATATTCACTCCACCAAAGATCCATCTGACTTAAGCTTGAACATACAAAGGTCAGGCTAAACTTGAAGACAGCACGAGCTGTGGGCCCGGCAAGGGGAAGAGCAGAAAAGGCTGTCAGTCAACTTCTGTTGATCCACAAGGCCTTAAGAACTCCTGTCCTCGTTCATGGAACCACTTATTGGAGACTGCGAACAGAAAGAAAGAGTGTTACAATCCTACTGGCTCACTCAGTAGCAAAATGCAAACCCATTCATGATGACCCCTGTACTGGGTCTGTGAATCAGAAGGAGAAAGACACAGCCTTGGGTCTCTAGCTGCTCATGAGCTAAGAAGAAAGACAAATGTATAAGCAAAGAGTTGTACCCTTGTGTAGGTCATCAGAGGAGCAGAACTGAAGGACATCTAGCCAGATGGGTGAGGAGAAAACCCTCAGGGTAGGATATAAAGCTAAATAGAGGCTAATACGGGAATTAACTTCATCTTCACTGTTCTTACAACAAGGGCATCCTGGGCAGTAGAGGAGGATAAGAAAGACATTAAGGCAGGAACCACTTGGGAATGTTCCAAGGACCTTAAGAAACTGGATACTGTCAAATGTGGCAGGTGGGAGCTGAGAGCCAGGACGGAGCTGAGAGCCAGGACATGAGGATGAAGAAGCCTGTCATCATGGAGGGCTTGGAACAAAAAGCCCCAGGGCTGACGGGGATCATCAATCATCAGAGAAAATCTCAGAAAGGAAGAAAGGCTTGGCTTTATACAAATTTATCTCCCAGCTGAGAGTTTAAGGCCCACCACCAAAGCCCAGGCTGTTGCCACCATGCCAGCACCATTCTGTAGGCCGCTTACCCCACTTGCAGCCCACGAGCACAGGGCAGGCTGCGTGTCTCGTTCGGTAGTCGCCCTCTCCGCTCCGCAGGAGGTTGTACCAGAACACGGCTGTGCCCTGGAAAAGAACAATCTGTCACAACACGCCCTTGTTGAAAACTGGGCGACCCGGTGGGAAGTGGTCCCTACCAGGTAACACTGACAGATACAAGGGGATTTCTCCCTTTAAGGCACTTTCTTTGAACTCTAAGAAAAAGGCTGTGTGTTATGTGCATAGGATTTGAACTTTTTGCTCAGCTTCCTGTAACACACATAACACATCCACCATCCAGCTCCACATGGGCTCTGGGACTTGGCCACAGGCCTCCCTCCCTGAATAACACCCTCACTTCCACATCCACAGAGGACAGGGCTCTGGGATTCCAGCAATAGAGGAGTTCCCAAAACATGGTGAACTCTTCACGGTGGGGTGGGCATGTGCGACCTGAAGGGACATCACTCCCCTGTCCTTTCTCTACAGTTGGAAGATGAGGCCACCAAGATCAGAGTCCAAGAGGCAAGGGCTGAAGCCCATCACAGTGACCATCAAGCAGGCCAATAACCAGGGCATGGACAAAGTCTGAGGCCTGCTTCAACTTCTTCCCTGTCAGGATCAGACCTTACCTTCTTAGGCCAAATTGCAGCACCCAGGTCAGGAAAGACAGTGGCCCCTCCAGCTTCTACATCACTCATCTGGAAACAGAAGACAGAGCTTGGCCATTCCACCTTAGGCTCTTAGTTCAGCTGGGTCACATGACAAGGTACACTGATTAACCTCCCCTGTGTACAAAGAGCCTGAGCAGTGCTTCTCAGAGGTCAGCTCTTAAACCACAAAAGGCTCTGCCCACACTGACCCTTCCCAAACCCTGCTTAATTGTGTAGCTCACAGGCACCAAAAAGCCCTGAGTGGGAGGCCCATATCGTGTCTGTGCTTGGTGGAAACAGAGTCTATACTCAGAAAAAGCCTGTTCCACTGCTCACCCATTGAGTCATTATCCAGCACAGCCTCACTCACACCACAGTGCCCACTGAACCTCCCTCACCAGGAAGCCACTGCTGCTTCTTACACCAACTGTGGCCCTCACAATGAACTGTTTCCTCAGCTCTAGTAACTTGCTTTTCCAGACCCTCCTCTTCCCTGCCTTCCCAAGGCCAGATGGATATGTAATGTGTGTCTACAGGGCCTGCATTCTCCCAGAGTGGAATTTCAAATGAAACAGGACACGAGTCCCACACATCCACAGAGCATGGCTCAACTCCAGCCCAAAGCACTACTTTGTTCTCATCTGGCTCTTCTACAAGTTGTTGTGAATAATGTAATAAAATTTGGAGCTAACAAAGTATTTCCACAGGACACATACCAGACAGTGTGAAGGGGACTTGTCAAGCATAGATGAGTAAGACAACCTGCACCCCGCCCCCGTCCCGGCTCCCATGGCCCTGAGGTTAGGACCACGAGGCCCTGCCATGCCCTCAGCCTCTCCATCCTACCACTCCCCCTCAGGTGCTCCTGCCTCATAGTCTGGGTTTTTTCAACATCCCAGCCTCTTTCTCTGCCAGGTCTCCACACATTCTCTTCTCTGCGTGACCCCATGTTCCCCCAGCTCATTTCCATTAAGCTTCAAGTCTTAACTGACATGTTCTTTCCCAAGTTAGGCCTTTTCTGCTCTGAAAGCTCCCTGTACTAATTCTTCCTAATACTTATCAATGTGGTAACGAAGTGATTATCTCTCTTAAATTTAGAGTAAGTCTCCTGTATTAGGCATTAAGCTCCAAAAAGAGGCCACAGATTTCTGCTCCCCAAAGCATTCACAGCACATCACAGGATTTAACAAGCATACAATAAAAATTTAATAGAAAAACCAAAAGTGAAAAGTGAACCAGGGCTTCTGTCTCCGAGTTAACTGACAGCTTCCAAGCGTGTTTATTGGTGGCTCTCTCAGAAGAGAGGGGAGGAAATCATTCCTCGCATGAAAGGTAAACTCAAGGGGAGCTCTGGTGGCCTAGTGGCAAGGAACTGCAACTACAATCCCAGAGGTGCACGGTTCGAATCCACCAGATGCTCTGCCGGGGAAGGAGGGACAATCTCCTCCTGTACCAGTCAGATCTGATTTGATGGTACACACACACAAAAAATAAAAAAAACTTAAAAAAAAAATTTAAAAAAAAAAAAGAAAGGTAAACTCAAGACCCCGTGCATAGAACAGAGGCCTCAGGTGGGAGACAAACCACAAAGCCTCTGGGAAAACAGGCATTTTCCTGTAAGAGCACCTCATGGTTACCTGCTAATGCTGTGGTCCAGCAGGGAGCCCAGCAGGGCACCCATTCCCACAGTACAGACTAGCATCAGAGAGGAGGCAGGGATGTGAGAAGCGTGCTGGGATGGCAGGAGGACGGAGTACATAGATGGAACAAGGCAACTATCTCTACTCCAGCTGTGAAGGATGCTGAGGGACAGAAGGGCCAACACAACCATTAACCAGTATTCAGGGGTCCCAGTCCAGACATGGGCAGGATAGAAGACAGCACTCTGCACCCAGGGTCCTCAAAGAGCCCATACACTGCACACATCATACTCACGTAGTTTAAGAAAGTGGCCACACGATTCCCCGTCCCTAAACTCTTGAAAACATCTTGTTCATCGCTCTATAAAATTAAGTGAGAGTGAACGGGTGGACCCAATACTTACATAGTTAAGAAACGTTGCTAACCTATTCCCCTCCGTTTTGAGGCCGCTGTCAAAAGGTCGCTGCAACAGACAACAACTTTCACCCAAGTTTGCAACTGACTTCACCCACCACCCACAAGACCAGGGCCTAATGGGTCAGGGGAGGGTAATCCATGTCTCTCATAAATCAACCTGGAACCTGGGGCAAGGCTGCAAAGGACACTTGGCCAGGTGAGAAAGACAGGCAGGGACACTTTTCACAAAGACCTACTGAGGTGTTTTGTTTTAGAATGTGGACAAAGAGTGACACACAACTGGGGCAAGGGAAATATCACCCCTTCACCTACAGAAGAGCCTCAGGGTTCCTCAAGCTTCCAGATTTGAGCTTCCACATTAACAGGGGTTCCCTTGTTGTGCTAAGCAGCCCCGATCTGGAAGCTGAAGTATTTTAGGAGCTCCAGTCTTTTCAAACTGTTTAAAGAATGGACTGCTGAAGGCGCTCATGATTTTGTCCTTACCCTGGAAAAGTCAAAGTGTGGCTCGTACTGTCCTCCCATTCCATAGTTAGCAACCTGGTGGGAAATAACAGCATTAGACCTTGGCAGCAGCAGCAACAGTCCCGAAGCAGCCCATCTCCCCACGAATACAAGGTTTCCAGGCTGCAAACACTTAGAAAACCCAACCTAAGAGTAGCTTCCCTAAGGTGCAAGCAAGTCATGCCCCGTTAGCACAGGCAGAGCCAACGCTGCAAATATGTTTACAGCAGGCATCTACAGCAAGGTCGCATCACCAATGTGGGCTCGCAGACAGAACAAGGTAGGTGAGGGGCCGATGGCCACTGTGAAGGAGTGCCCAGGTCTCCAACGACTCTCAAGAGCCAGCAGAGGGAGCTCTTAATGAGGCAGACTCAGGCTTGGAGGCAGTGAGATTATGACCCACAGAAAAACCAGCAGCTTACAAGATTGGTACCAGAGGAATGTCTATCTGTGTTTAATTGATTATGCAAAGGCGTTTGACTGAGTGGATCACAACAAACTGTGGTTGACTCTGAGAAGAATGGGAATCCCAGAATACCTGATTGTGCTAATACAAAACCTACACTTGGACCAGGAGGCAGTTGTCAGAACAGAGCAATGAAACACTACATGGTTCAAAATTGGGAAGGGTGTACGCCAGGGATGTGTCCTGTCTCCATACCTTTTCAATTTATATGCAGAACAGATTATCCGGGAGGCTGGGCTCTATGAGGAGAAGTGTGGTATCAGGATTGGAGGTAGACTCATCTACAATCTGCGTTAAGCAGATGACACAACCCTGCTTGCTCAAACTGAGGAGGGACTGAAGCGCTAGTTGCAGAAGGCCAAGGACTACAGCCTCCAATATGGATTGAGGCTCAATATCAAGAAGACAAATATTATTACCACTGGGCCAACTGTCAGTATTATAGATGGTGAAGAGATTGAGACTGTTAACAGCTTTAGTTTGCTTGGCTCCACAATCAACACTCTTGGTACCACCAGCCAGGGAATGAAAAGATGTTTTGCCATGGGAAAGTCTGCTGATAGAGACCTCTCCAAAGTACTGAAAAGCAATAATGTCAGTCTGGAGACTAAGGTGCACCTGATACAGGCCATGGTCTTTGCAATCACTTGCTATGCGTCAGAGAGCTGGACAATGACTAGGGAGGATAGAAGAATTGATGCCTTTGAGCTGTGGTGTTGGAGAAGATACTGAATATACCATGGACTGCTAAGAGAAGAATCCTGGAGAGAGTTAAACCAGGCTGCTCCTTGGAGCCAAGGATTCCGAACTTTCCTCTGACATACTTTGGACATGTTGCAAGGAGGGACCAGTCCTTGGAGATGAACATCATGCTTGGTAGGGTGGAGGGACAGCGCAGGAGGGGAAGACCCTCTATGAGGTGGATTGATTCAGTGACTGGTGTAATGGGGACAGTGAAATTGGCACAGGACAGAGTAGGGTTTAGGGCTATTGTACATAGGGTCACTATGAGTTACAAGTGACTCAAAGGCACATAACAACAACAACAACAAACAAGATTGGGGAAGTTTTGCTTTTATGTTACTTTGGGAACTGCTCTGTGCTTGGCACTGCTCCTGACACTTTATCAACTGTGCACCAGGAGCTCCTGATGGCCAGGTGGGGCAGGGCATGTCTAATCCACCACCTTCCATAGTGGTCTACTGCATGGAATACTTCTGCATACAAATATGGCAGAGGACCAGTGGCTGAATGCACTCTCAGCCTAAGCCCAGATCTAGATTAAGATTGCAGCTACCTCACCTTCAAGAACTACCAAGTTTCATTAATTGGACTGGGAATCTTAAAAGGTAAACAACTTACCAACACCATGCAAATTGAAAATCACAATATATATTTTAAGTTTCATAGAATGAGAGAAAAGGGGCAAGATGAAGTGCAGAGTCAGATGAAGCAGCTGATAGATCAGTGATGGTGGTGGTGAAGTCTGTCGACTATAACTCACAGGGACCCTATAAACAATGGATCTGAACCCTGCACTATCCTGTGGCATCCTAACCTCTGACTCATTGTATCAATCAGTCTCACTGAGGGTCTTCCCCTTCATTGCTGACATTCCACTTTCCCCAGCATGATGTCCTTTTCCAGGGACTGGTCCCTCTTAACACTATGTGCAAAGTATGTGAGATGAAGTTTCACTGTCCTTGTCTAAGGAGCAGCCTCACTACACCTTTCCCAAGACATATTTGCTCGCCCTTTCGGCAGTCTATGGGATATTCAGCACTCTTCTCCAACACAACTTAAAGGCATCTGTTCTTCTGTCACCCTTAGTCATTGTCCAACTTTTAGCTACATAGTAAGTAACTGAAATGATTATGGTTTGGATCAGGTGCACCTCAGCCTTCAAACTGACATCGTTGCTTTTCAGCACTTTGGTGACCTCCTTGGTAGCAGACTTTCCCAATACAGCTTTTGATTTCCTGGTTGCTGGTGCCAACAGTATTGACTGTGGATCCAAGCAAAGTGAACTCATTGACAAATCATGTGAAAGTTCAAACTGAAGGTGAATAAAAATGAAAACAAGTCTACAAGAAGCAAAACATGACCTTGAGTCTATCCCATCTGAATTAAAAAAATCATCTCAAGAACTGGTTGGCATTGAACACTAATGATTGAAGATCAGATAGGATATCATTCATGAAGAGAGAAAAAAAGTCATTACAAAGACAGAAGAGAAAGAAAAGACCTAAATCGATGTCAGAAGAGACTCTGAAAACTGCTCTAGAATGTGGAGAAGTCATAAAAGAGATAAACAGAAGATTTCAGAACGCACCAGGAGAAGACAAAGCAAAGTATCATGAAGGAATGTGCAAAGAGCTGAAGCTGGAAAACAAAAAAAGGAAGACTAGTTCAGCATCTCTCAAGCTGAAAAGAATTTAAAAGCAAAGTCAAGCCTCTTTCTCTAGCTGATCTCTAGCTGGAGGCACCATCAGTGTTCTGGTAATGCTGGCTACTGCATTTTACTAAAACCCTAAAGGTCTTTGTGGCTCAGCTTCAGAAACTTGGTTTTGTCTGTTTGCTTGTTTAATACACTTTTTCGGACATTCCAGCAGCCAGGTGAGAGATGCGGCAATATTGACAACAATGGAGAGTAGAGGTTCACGGGTAAAGATGAGAGGGTGGACTTTAGAAGGGAGGAATCCTATTGGATCATAAACAACATGTGCCAACTGTAATGAAACACAGAATTGGAGCAGCCTGCTTTTTAGTGTCTTGAAAGTAAAAAAGACTCTGGTATGAAAAAAATTAGTGGATGAGACATGCTGCCCTCTGCTGTTTAGTCTTCAAGACTCCCTCACCTGAATTACTGGGAATTCTGTCAACAGCCCAAGGACATCTGTTTCGGCAAGCAGTTCTAAGACCAGGGTGGTGTACCTATGAAGGGAGTGCTTGGGGAATTGGCTAAGTTGATTTTTTTTCATAGCACTTTTCCAAATGTAATCTTTTCCTTGGATCCATCCTAGTGGAGAACTTGAGGAAAATTTTAAACATTACTGTGAGGAGCGTGCCAATGAACTCAGGAAAACTCAAGCTCTGCTTGTTGCTGAACCTGGGCAGTCTGACTGCATTTTTCCAAAATGTACACTTGTAGGCTGAAGTGCTTAAACAGTCCCAGGTAATCAAGCAACCCCGCACTGCTAATGCCAGATCGCTTCTCAGCAGTTTGAGGAATCTCATTTGATCATGATGACCAAGCCATTGCCCCAGTGCTATTTAATATTGTCTCCAGCAGCGTAAAAAAACCTGGGAACTTCTGGATTTGTAGCACTCAGATTCATCATCAGGGCTTACTCAAGTCCTCAGACTCACACTTTTAATAGCAAACCTCTGTAGCACATTCCAGTGAGAAACGGTTCATCTGAATCTTCAGACATGTTATTACAACAGTAGAGTCAGTCATTTGAAAGGCATAGCGTTTATGATGCTGATGCTAAGGCCAGAGAGAAGGCAAAGAGAGATGCTCAGAAATCTCTCTCCTGGTGAGGCTGTGACATTACTGGCCTAAAGAGTCTTCAGTCTTAGAAAATTCTATCTAGAAAATTTTAGATAGGTCCTTTTTCCATTCACAAGAAAGCCTCAAATACCTTTCCCCCCCCTCCCAATTCATAGTAAACACATTTAACGCATGTGCTCAGTATCAGACACCTCAAATATAACTGAAAGATTGTCAACAGTAACTGTAGTAGAACCAGAAGCCTGTGGTGTTTCCCTTTAAAGAGACTCTGGTGTGAAGGCTGCCGCTGATGCCTAGCCATTTATGATGCTGGAAGCTACAGACGTCATGAAGTAGGCACTTAGAGGTGAGTGCTGAAATGTTAGGCTCCTGGTCTCCAGGTCACATCAGGCCAAAGCATTTCCACACCACTGACTGGCATGGGAGACAGATCCCAAAGGAAGAATGCAAGCACGTATGTTTTCTCAGCCACCCAACAGCTGTGGTCTGGATCTCCCAGAAGAACCCTAGGAGCCCCTCCACAGACGGTATTAGCATGCAAACCCCAGTTAATTCTGTTTCAGCAAAAAGAAGCCGACACAATGACACCAGGGCTGCAGCAGAGAAGCAAGCCCGCAGCACAAACAGCTCTCTTCCATAGCTGAGCATGAAGCAGAGGTGCTGCCAGGAGAGCAACGGAGACAAAATCCCTGTCAACTCTTCAGAGAATCCAGAAGACTGACATCCTGTCAAGGTGATGAGAGTCCACAGCACCGGCTCTAATGTGGAGGATGTAGTGGTGGTAGCTATCTTTAAACTTAAATCATGTGGAAGAGCACCCTTACTACCACCAAGAAATAATCACCAGGACTGGAGTGTGTCTTTGTGGACATAGGCCCCTACATGATGAAGCTCATTGGTACCAAGGAAGGCCAGAACACACAGAGGTTCCCAGAAAACACAGGACCTACAGAAGCTGAGGGAACAAGGACTTGAACAACTGAAAAACAGGGTTTTCACCTACAACTGGTACCTTGGATTTGGCCTTCGAGTCTCTTAAATGTAAGAGAACAAATTTCTTTTGTTAAAAAAAAAATCTTCTCCAAGAAGATGGGAATCACGATAATGCTAAGAGGCGCACACCACTAGCACGTGGAGCACTCAGACCACTCTTGAAATGATAGCTTTCTCACACATGTGAGGCAGCAAGTAGAAGCTGTGACAGAAGTCCTCTATCAGCGTGCTTGCCTGCATAACTTCTTTACACATTAGAGACAACTGAGGTTGACCTAAAAGGATGATATAACATTTTCAAAAGACTATTTGTAAGGTAATTTGCATGTTTTTGAAAGCTCTGGTCAACTTTATACAAATTCATAAAAATAATCCTCAAAAACTGGTTTTCTGATTGCTGATATACCTCGCTACTTAAAAACTAATGAATGGCAATCTGTTTGTGTGTCTGTGTCCAGACAGACTAAGTCTCAGAAAATCCAGTCATCATTTCAGCATTCTATCAGGGGCTCCTTAAAAGCATAGTGAATCTCCATCTCATGGATTTTGTTAGGAGGAGCCAGTCCTTGGAAAAAAAGACATCATGCTGGGAGAGTGAGAGGTCAAAGAAAGAGAGGGAGGCCCTCAAAGAGAGAGACTGACACAGAGGCTGTAACAATGGGTTGGAACCCATCAGGGATCATGAGGAAGGTACGGGATAGGGCAGGTCCCGATCTGTTGTTCACAGGGTTGCTATGAGTTATAGTCGACTCAGTGTCACCTAACAACATGGTATCTATAGGGGACTCTGGTGGCTTAGTCTGTAAGGAGTTGCAACCTGAACCCAAAGGCTGTATCTCTCTTGGTTTGAATCCACCAGCTGCTAGGAGGGAGAAAGATGGGCAATCTCTCATGCAATTTTTAGCCTTAAAGAAATCCACTGGAGGGTCTGCTATGAGTTCATTCCAACTCAAGGGCAATGAGAAGAACATCTACAATTAGTGAGATGCCAGTGCTAATCCTGAAGGTAAGATCTACTTTAATTTAATTTTGCTATCCTTAAGTACACTGAAACTCTAGCCAAACAGCTGAATCCTGGGGACTCAAGAGAGACGCCAGTGAAATCTGCCTGGCAGTGTCTAAGGTTGTTGCTTTTACAACAGAACTCAGGAGGTCAGCTATTTAGAATGGAGCAAAGCCAGGACTGATTTGAACTCAATACTCCAGGGTATACATTAATAGGTGCTTTACCCAAAACTTTCCAGCCTGATACTGCCATGTTTCCTCATAGGCACAAAATAAAGGCAAGGAGCCAGGCTTCCTCAGGCCACAGCACTCTACCAGCCAACCACTTTCACCAGCCAGTCCAGGCCTCTCACTTCTACCAACTCATCATAAACCACTCAGTTTCCAAGCACATTTGACGGTGACTCAGAACCACAACCTCTGGAAATATTTATAGCTTTTAGAGGTATCCTCAGAACAATTGAGGATTTTCAACTTCTAAGTTGAGAAGTCATTAATGAGTCTGCCATGCCCTCCACTGGAACACAGGAAATGCCCTATCAGTATTCATTGAGTGCCACCAGCTGAATGCCAGTGACTAGGATTAATTCTGGCTTCCCATTATGTTATTACTCCATATTTATAGCGTTGTGCAGTCAGGAAGTTTATTAGTGGTTTTCTTCCACAGAGAATTTGAGAGACATATAACTCAAGGAGTGAAAAAGGGGGCTCTGGCTGGTCCCTGTTCTCCATACATGCTGGCCACATACTCTCTCAACTATACCAGTGATGTCAATATAGCCTCTTAAGAGACCATGTAACCAAAAATATTCACTTCCAAAGTCTCTAGGGTGCAGGGACCAACTGTACCTGCAACAATTCTGCCGTCTTTACTGTCAGTCCTGTGATGTGCTGCATTCGACGATTCACTTGGGCCACTACGGGGTCATCGTCCTCCTCCAGCCAGGAGCTGGGTCAAATATAAAAGCCAGAGAAAGGAAGATGTGAGGAGGCAGGCGTAGGTCCTGAACTCTCTCCCGCCCGCCCGTAGTCAACCAGCACTAAAGGGAAGCACAGGATGAGTGTTGCCAGAGTGTTAGGAGCAGCCACCCTTCCCAAGCAGAGACTGGAGCTGGGGCTTCAGCCAGCTCTCAGCACCCCAAACACCCACCACCATCCCTGCTTACCTTTTGGAAACCCTATAGCTGGCAACTGTGAGGACTCCTGTCTTGGGATCTCGAACAGTGGCTCGTGCAAGCTGGAAAGCAGGAAGGGAAAGCAGATTTATCCCTTTTAGCTTGAACTTACTTGTATTTACTCCAGAGAACACCAAGATCATATCTGTCAGTTGGGAAAGAAGGTTTTCAAGCAGTCATTCTACCAAGACCCCGTGATCCTTAAATAGTCAGGCCAGGGCAGAGGACTGAGGCCCCCACATTCCTGCTCCACTCTCAGCCCCAGGCCACCACTCTCTCCCACCAGTGCTCACACCCAAGTCCATGCTGTCTACAAAAGTATGCCCATGGAGCCTGCTTCGCCTATTCACCCATCCTTCTGGACAACCTCCTCACCACACCACACCACACGACACCACACCACACCACACACCTGCCCTGCCTGAGCTTGACTGTTCCCACCACACTCATCATCTCTGTACCATCATCCCTGAGCCCCAATTCTGCATTCTCTCTTAACTTGATCAAATCCCACAAATTTCTAACACTCAGTGGTGTCTACTACGAAGATCTACCTAGATCCTTCTCAACATTCTGTTGCTGTACCCCCTCACAATGGGCTCCTGAGCTCCTTCACCCCACCTCCCCAAGACCATCACATCCTACTTGATATTATGCTGGACATCGCTGTTTCCTCTAAACACAAGAGAGTCCTAATGCATTTCTAAGAACAACAGGAAATAGAAGACCTACGTTCACAAGCAAGTAGAAAGATTAAGTAGGCTAACTGAGGGTACAGGTGAGTTAGTATCTAATTTCCTAACTCATTCATCAACCTCATGTTCCCCAATACTTCCCCCTGCTGCCAGGAGCAGAGGCACTGGGCTCAGTTCTGAGTGAGCCTGCCATGGCCTCCACCAGCATGCTACTTAGTTCTTAGGAGATGCCCAATCAGTGTTTGAATTCATCCACTGTGGACGCCTGTGGGTATGATTCATTCTGACTTTCTAATATGACATCACTCTACACTTACAGAACTGTGTGGCCCGTTTATTAGTGGTTTTCCTCAAGGGAGAATTTTGGAGATATACAACTGTCTCAGGGCGTCTTCTAAGGAGACTCACAAAGATAGACTCAGGAAGAGTCTCTAAATTGTCATCATTGAAATGTTGCCTAGAATCACTCACCCACACATACACACATTCCTATCTGCCTCTCCTAATAGTCTCCACAGACAGGCTTAGTGATATTTTTCAGAAGGGCCTGCAGCCCACAGCTAGCCAGACCCAAGTTTCAGTTCTAGATTGTGCTAATTACAAATGAGTGAGGTAATTGATCCCATAATACCCTCTCTTCCTTTCAATAAGCATTTCATGAGTGCTTACTATGTAACTGACATTATGTTGGGTGATCAGTCAGACACAGCCTCTGCCCTCACACAGCGCTGCCCAGTGTGGGAAGGTAGGAAACTAGCCAGGTAGCATAACATAAGAACAGAGATGGATGTAAGTTTAATTTCCTGTGGAACTGCAGTCTACAATCAAGGACGGTTCCCTTATGAGAGGAGTGCCTGAGACAGGAAAAGTAAGTAGGAGTTAGGCAGGTGAGGAAAAAATTACAGGATGGTGAAACAGCAACACTCTGAAGGCCCTGGGACGAAAATCAATGTAACATCATGACTATAAGGAGCCCTGAAGGTATAATGGCTAATATATCTGGCTCCTGATAATATATTACCTAAAGGTTGACAGTTCGAATCCACCAGTTTACTCCTTGAAAGCAGAGTTGAGAAATCTCCACAAATATTGACAAACTCCAAAACCCCAAAAAGAGTTGCTATGAAACAAAATCAACTTAACAGCAGTGGGTCCTTATGAATGTTTTGAGGAAGCAATAAGCTCAGGTGGCCTAGTCCAGAGAAAGCCACACTGCAAACCCAAAAGTGGTAGCTCTCTGGGGGTCTGAATCCACTAGCAGCTCCACTGGAGAAAGATGGGAAATCTCTGGAAAGCTCAGTGGAGGATCAGCTCTGAGTTGGTTCTAACCCAACAGCAACAAGTTTGAGAGTTTAAGTGAGAGATGAAGAGGGAAAGGGCGGGGGGACTGGTGAGAAAGTCTGGATGCACTCTTGTGGCCAGTGAGAAAAAGGGCAGGGTTTACGAGGAAAAGAGCACCCACAATCTAAAAATCATAAGGACCAGGGTAGACACTTCATGGAGAGCTAATTAAGAATGAGCCAGTCTTGAGAGAGAGGAGACAGTGAAGGAACCAAAGCAGGGCTCTGAGCAAGAGAGGATGGAGCCTGGGTCAGGGATGGAGAGAACAAGATGGCCCAGGGGTTGGTCAGATGAGACTGGTCCACCTGCACCTTGCTGCTGTGCATGTTTGATGGCCTGGTCAGCTCACTGGGCTTCCCTGAGCTCCTATCCACAGGCCCTTCCTAAGCTCCTGCTCATGCTGGCCCTTCCTGATGACAGATGCAGCCACAGATTTATCCAAATACATGAGCCTCAACACTGACCTGCTGGCCACAAGGAGGTTCTTGGCAGCTGTGCTCTGTCCCTGAGGATTGACAGGTCTATTTTGAAAGCAGGCAGGGGACACAGAGGCAGCTGTCAGGCATTCCCCACAGGCCATGTTAAGCTCCTGAGTCCCACTTCAAAGCCAAAATAACATTTGTCCCACATCAGCTCCAGAAGGGCAGAATGGATTGACCCTTAATATGAATATGGCTACTGTTCAAAGACAAATTTAACTAACACCACCACATACACAAACACCCAAACACCCACTGCACCCACACTCCCCACCACACAGGAATGTTCTCCATGTCTAAGACTGAGAAATAGAAGAGGAATCTCTCAGGAAATTCTGTCACAAGAATGCCTCTCTCATCTAGCAACGAGGCATAAACTCACCCAGACAGCTCAAGTGCGGGTGCCTGAGGGCCAGTCTCAACACACTGGCTAGATCCTCCCTCAGTGCCACTAAAGATGCCAACAACCAACTCTTAAGTCCTAGTCCTCCAACTGTCTCAAGCGAAGGTTGTTCCAAGATAAGGTCCTGGGGCCACGTCCATTCTCATCCAAGCACAGGACAAGAACCCATTTCAGATCTTTCCCTGAAGAGCACTGGGCCCTGTCGCCACCTTGTCGCCACAACAATTCTACCAGGAACAGAAAAGGCCAGATTCTAGCTAACTCCTACTCATCAGGGCCACCACTCACCTGTCAATTTGTCATATTGTGATTGCTTGTGTGATGCAGTGATGCTGGAAGGAAGTTACGCATCAGTGTTTTGAATACTAGCAGGCTCACCCATGAGAGACAGGATTCTCCCAAGCTTCTAGCCTTAGACTACAAAGCTGGGATGGTTAGTCACATCTGAAATAATGGTTGAGTGAAAACCTCACTAAAAGCAGTGGGACACTGCTGTAATTGGAATATGAACCGTGCCAAGTATGAACCTGGAAAAATTAACAAAACACAAACTCATAGCCGTTTATCTAGAAACAATTCAGAGCTGACCCAATTCATAGCTGTCAGTTTTCCAAGGCTATAAACTGCACAAGGCCTCTGGCTTCTTGAGGAGCAGCAGGTATGAGGGCTCCGGGGACTCGTGGTGTTCTTTTTGTCCCACGTGGGGGTTGGCAGAGTGAACTTGCCAGATGAACTGGGGGTCTGGAGCCCAGAGTTTGCCAGCATTTGGGCGTGCCGGGATGGTAAGAGACTGAAGGGCCCAAGGGCAGTCTTTCATTGTTTTTGTTCAAACATTCCTCTAGGTCGTATAGTCCTGGTGTATAAGTTGCGGTACAGCGGTAACTTGTGGTTGCTGTGAGGCTGAACACTGTGACATTGATGTGTCAAATGCGTTAATGGTGGGTTACCCAATGCGGACAGAGAGTGGGGTGGAGCTCCCCAATTAAAATAAGCTTGGAAGGAGGAGTGGCATCCACTTCCTAATAGCTTGCCTCTGGAAACCCTATGAACCTGGAGAGAGGATGAAAGGCACCCAAGCGTCGAGGACTCTCCTTCATAGGGTCGCTATGAGTCGCCTGGGACTCGACGGCACTTAACAACAACAACAACAACATAAACAGCACATCTTCCCTCTTGGACTCACTGTCAGGTTCAAACAGCCAGAGGAGAACAACCTTTGGGTCAGACAATGACCTATAAACTCTGCCACTCCGGCTCCACAGGAGAACTGGAAGTGGTCAAAAATAAAGCAGGGCACATCCAGATAGATAGACAGCCTATGTATGAGTGAGGGGAAGTCTACTATTGATCATTTTTAATACAAAAATCATATCTTCTACTATGCTACGAATGACAAATGGAAAAGAAATGGGATCATTCCATCAAAAAGAAAATGTCAGCATCTATCCTAAAGAACAACAGTGTCAGTTACAGGATACTACTCATACCCATACAAGGAAGACTTCTTAATATGACCATTATTCAAATTTACACACCATTCACTAAAGCCTAAGACGAAGAAACTGAGGATTTATACCAATTTCCGCAGTCTGAAACTGATCAAATATGCAATTAAGATGCAATAATAATCAGAATACAGAAGTTAAAAAGGAAGAAGAAACGATAGAAAATAAGGGCCTTGGTAACAAGGTCGAAAATAACAAGATAGAATTTTTTACATCCAGCAACCTGTTGACTGCTAATGTTGTTGTTGTTGTTGATTGCTGTCGAGTCGAGCACGACTCATAGCAACTCGATGATAGAAAGGCCTGAAGCCTTTCTATAACTATTGTTGGTTCTCCAAGTTCATAGTTTCCAGGGGGATGTTGTTTAGGAAGTGGATGCCACTCCTGCTTCCAAACCTGAATCAATCTGGGAGCTCCACTAAACACTGCCACAATGGATAGCCATTAGGGTGTCTGGCACACCTATGGCACAATTGTTCCAGTATGGCATTTGAGACCCCAATGGCACAAGGTTCAGTGTTACAGCAAACCCAGATTACCTCAGCACAGCAAATTGACCAGAGTGCTGTATGACTTAGAAGAACGTTCCTCCAAAATAGAGTAACAAAGGATTAAAATATAATCCCTCAGGCCCTCCAGGAGGTCTTGTTGACTCTAAACAAGAGACTTAAATAAAAACAACCAAACAATCCACACAGATCCTCAACCACAACAAGAGCATCATCTTACAAAGTCCAGATGCTTCATCCACCTCCAAAATGGAGACAAGGTTTGGCGTTATATGTTGTTGTTGTTAAGTGCCGGCTAGTACCAACCCTATAAACAAAAGACCTTAACCTTGTTCTGTAACTATTGTCCTTTCTCATAGTTTCCACAGGCATGTTTAGGAAGTGGATGCCACTCCTGCTTTCACGCCTGTGTTAATCAGTGAGCTCTATCAAACATTGTCAACCATGTGCAACCGTTATGACATTTGACAAACCAATGGCACACCATTCAGTATCACAGCAATCCAAAGTTACCTCAATACAGAGAAATGACATACAGTGCTGTACCCTAGGCTTTCACTGGCTCCAAAAGAGGCTTCTGGCCAACCAAACAATGCAGAGCCAACCCCATCCAACACAGAGAAGGACTCACCACTCCAAAGCCACAGTTTTACAAGACCCCATGCCCACATCCCAGGATCTCATTGGCTCCAAAAAGAGGCTTCCGGCCAGACACAACAGCAACGATACAGCTGGATCTCAACAGATGAAGTACACAGGAGTCAAATCATCTACATCTGTGAAAATATGAGTTCTGGTGCCCTTGTGGTAAGAAAGTGTGCTGCAATCTCAAAGCACAGTTCAAATCCACCAGCTGCTTTATGGGAGAAGGAAGGGGAATCTCCTTGCTTGGAATTTACTGCCTCTGAAAATCTGCTGAAGGGTCAGCTATGTGTCGGTTCTGACTCAACAGCACATAACAACAACAGAGAAAACAAAAATCATCAATCAGAGCAAGGTCAATAGAACAGATTCATCAACCACACATAAGCAAGTTCAAGTTGAAACTGAAGAAAATGAAAGCAACTCTACAGTAGCCAAAATAGGGCCTTGAGTAAAAAAACTGTGGTATATTCACACAATGGAAAATTATACAGCTTTGAAAAACAATGACATGAGTGAGCCTGGAGGACATTATGCTGAGTGAAATATCTCAGTCACAAAGGACAAATACTGAATAACATCTACAGGACTGACATGGGGGAGGGTTGGAGGGAGAACAGGAAAAGAGTGAATAGATAATGAACACTGAATTGGAAGCAATGAGGGGGAGGGAAGAACTGGGAGAAATGTTATGATTAGGCATTCTATGTACGACACTAATCTGGAACAAGAGGTTCACTGCAAAGTGGACTTGGGGAGGGAGGAAGATGTTCAACAATGAATGAATGAAAGGCCAACCTTTCTGGAAACCTTCATTAAAATTATAATAAATTTTTTAAAAAAAAGACTTACTAAGACGTGAACTTAAAAGATGGGAACAAATGGAGAGAAGACTCAAAAGCATAGAGATGCACATGGTGCTCCAAGTCAATCTTTTCGCTTGCAGTCCCTAACAGGAGCCCCACGTGAAGCTGAGCTGCCTCACTGAGGGCCTGTCCTGTGGCCAGCATGCCGTCTGTCTTCACACCACTTACTCCTGGCTGTCCATTTCTGACCCCTCCTATTCTCCCACTAGACTATAAACCCAAACCATAGGAGCAGAGTCTTCAGTATCTCAGCACCCTATGACTGATCCATGCTAACACTGCAAAAGCTAGAAGCATAGCAAACAAGTGTCCCTGCGGTATCAGGCCTAAGAGAGACGACAAGCATTCAACAAGCAGAACAGGGCCTGCAGAGACACCTACTTTGGGCTTCGCAAGCTCCTTGATCCTCTCAATTTCCTCATCAGACATGACATCGTAGTATCTGACGATGTGTGGGCTGTCCCACTCATCCTCTTCTTTGAAAGGGGCGATGAGTAGCTGTGGAGTCCTGTTGCCATGGTGATACCTACAGAAAAGCCTCTTCTGCCTCCGGGGTGTCTAGGAAGCACAGAACAATACACCCTGACCTGAGTGATCACACACAGTTCCCTGTTTCTAGGCTATTTTGACTACAGACAACACCCAACCACCCTGCCCTGCCCTAGAAGGAAACCAAGCCCCTTCAGATCGACTGGATAAAATTTCACCCCACAAACCATGAAGTTTCTCTTCTCCTCCAAGAATACCTCATATAGCTCTGTGGCAGCAGCTAACTTCTGAGCCCACGGCTAATTTCACAGACATTTAAAGGGCTGGGACAGGGGACAAGACTGTCCAGGTAGAGACACCAGTGGGAGCCAGGCAGATATGGGCATGCAAGAGGCCCCACACCTCAGCCTCCCTCAGGAAGCCCCAGATCCAGGGGTTCTCAAAGGTCGGTGATACTAGATACTAAGCTCTACCAAATGCAGCCTTCACTACAGAGGCTTAACCCCCTGCTTCTATCACAACTTCTCGTGGGGTCTGGAATACATGCATATTCATGGTTTTCTTCACAACAGGGAGTTAAGCAAAAGCTGGCTACACTGGGGTAGCGGAGCTCAGTGTTAATGCCAAGGACTGGAACTCTGCCAGCTCCAAGAGGGAACAGTCTCCTGTTTCACACCTCAAAGAATAATCACACTTCAGCCTCAGCAGATGCTGCAAAGAACTGGGAGACAAAAGAGCATATCCCCAAATCTACCTGCCCAGCTCCACAGAGTGGGCCCCCTAGTCCCACTAACATGTCTCACCAGTTTGACCCCCTCCCCACGGCAGAGGCTCTCATAGACATCCCTCTCCGGCAGGTAGTCCATGGGTCTCTCATAGATGCCTTCCTGGGTTGCCAGCACACCCTCCGCAGTCTGATTGGATAACATTTTTTCTCTCTCTTCCTCCAACAAATGTTCAAAGTACCGCAGATTCCCTCCAGCTCGTTCATGGCTCGGGTCTAGAAAAAGCAAAGAACAAGGAGGAAAAGGAAACCACAAACATCTGTTAGGCCATTCAGAGAAATTATTCTGTAAGCGGTTTTCTCTCCCAGCAGTTCGCGCGCACGCAGCATCCTGCCCTCCACAGCACACTAATCATGGTTCGCTGTTCAGAGAAAAAAAGCCCAGAGATTCTGCCCAGTATGGTCAGAGATGAGAGACAAACAGCAGAAGACAGATGCCCAGCCAGTCACTGAGCCTCTCAGTCCTCCTTAATGTCCCAGGGGCTCAGGTCCAGGGACGTGGCCCAGAGTCTTGCTTCCTGCTCATGGCAAGGCTGTGTGACAGTCATATCCATTCCCCTGTGTATACATGACTGGCAGCCACATCATGTGCTGGTCACAGCCAGAAGTCAAGTTGAGAAGCCGGTGGGGGGGGCGGGGGAGGGGGGAGCAAAACGACCCCAAGACATTTCATTGCTTCCTCTTACAAACCTCTCTTACAGCCAAAGGAGCAGGCTTGGCAGGATTACCGCTCCACACTTCAAGTAAGGAAATTGAGGCCCAAAGATGTTAAGAGACTTGGGTTAAGGTTTTCCAGAACAAGATCCAGGTATCCTAACTCCCAGCCAGTGTTCTTACAAAGGCACCTGACAGAATCTACAACGCTCTTTTCCTAACTCAGTCTTGTGAGACACATATAAGCTAGCTAACATCACACTCAAGATGCTGTGAAAACTAGCAGCGTAACTAAGTCTTTGCTGGCAGATGAAATTCCAGACTTTGAAGACCCCATATACTAGTATAAAGTAGAACAGAGTTATCTTAACGATACAGTGCTTCTAGCATCCTTCAGTTTGATACCAACAGACACATAAAGCATCTACACCAGAACAAGCCCTGGCCTGACCTCAGTCCCCTGAATAATTGGCTCAATCAGTTTGTGCAGCAGCGATCCTGAAGCACAGCTCATGTTCTGAACTGCACAGATGCAATGAAAGCTCCCCCCTACCCAGGGGCAGATGCACCACCAAACTGGGGTCCTTGAAAGAAGAGCATGTGGGGGCCCCAGTGTCACAGACCTAACTATATCCATTAGCAAAGTTGAAGGACTGAGGTGCATACAGAGTTGGTTAGGTGTTAGACAGGGTCTGGAATCGGTAAGACACTGGTCACTAGTCAGGGGACAGGTCAGACTGACAGGCCCAGGAAGAGGATCAGACAGTAGCCAAAGAGTCCAGTTCTCTGCCAGCCCCTCACTCCCATTTCACCTCCCCGAATATCCTCACCAAGGGAAAGCAGGCGGCGGGTGAGCTCCAGAGCCCGGTGCAGGTCACCCAGCTGGAAGACGGCATAACTAAGGTAGTCCAGCACTTGGGCCTTGGCTGTGGTGGCCTCCTCCCCAGCGTCCAGCTGCTTCAGCACTTGCTCCATCCACAGCACTGTGTGGTAATAGTCCCCTTCATTGTAGGCCATGCGGCCCATCCCAAAGCAATCGTCCACGCTCAGGGTTGCCTGGTACTTGGTTCCTGCAGCAGGAAAGACAAACAGACTCTAAATAGCTGCTGGGTTAAAGAGCAGAATTCCTGAATAAAGGAAAATCCTGTTGCCACTGGAGTGTGGCATCACTCCAGGAAAGCCACACCAGGCCTGCAGACCACACACCTCAAAGGGTCACCAAAGCAGGGAGCATAGCCAACTGGCCCTGTCTGAGGTTCACAGCCAATCTCCTAGCCTCAGACTCCTTATCTCCCAAGTGGGAAGGGACCTTTGCTATGGGAGAACTCAGGAAGTCCACTGCACTGGGAAGAGTGTGAAGGTCCAGCAAGGACACGGGACACAGAGCGTGGAAAACTAGCCACGTGAGTCGGGAGGGCAGGAAGATGTTCTGAACACACAAGAGGAATCTCAAGTCAGGAATGAAAATAATTGCTTCCAGCAAGAATCTGAGGGGAAGAGCTGAGAAGGTGACTAAGGCTGCCCAGCGGCCTAACCAGATGGACAAAAGAGATCAATAGCACACGCTCATTGGCGCTTTGGCTCCTACAGGAGGTGTGTGTAAGATAACGAGAACGGAGCCTCTCAGAGGCCAGAGCTGGTGAGAGAAGGAACAGGTGCAGAGAATGTAAGCGGGGCTGGCATGGGACAGGCAGCAGGGGGTCTGCTATCAGCCTTAGACAAGAAACAGGAAGGCAGGAGATGAAGGTGAGCCTGGGTACATACTGCCATGGTGCTGCGGGGGCAGAGGTGAGGAGCTCCTGACCAGCAGTTCAGCCTTCTCTGAGATGCAGGAGCAAAGTGGCCAAGTTGGGGGTCAGAGATGGCAGACTAGACTGTGCAGGAACCCAGAGAGGATTACTCAGAGGTGATGGTGCCCCAGAGAGCAGGGACCATGAGTCTGAAGAGGCTCCAACCCCGCCAGCCAACAAGAAGATGCTCAAGGGACAGGCAAAGCAAGGAGGGGTGAGTTACCTGGAAGTTCCCCTTTGGAAATTGTTTCTGCGTCCAGTTTATATGTGTCCTGAAGCCTCATCAAGGCCTTGGCGGCTCCCATCTCATCCTCGTCAGTGGGGAAGAACTGCCGCTGCACTGAGAAGTTGGCAATGAAACCTTCCAAACAAGAGATGGAGAATGAGAGATTTCCCTCTTAATTCAAGGGTAGGATTCCACTTCCCCACCCCACCCCGGCCAGAGCGGCACCCACTTTGACTAGCTGAATTTCCCACCTCCTCCCTTAGAGGCTGTTTCTTCTGCCAGGAAGCCCCCTTGATAGTTCCAACCCATGGGGCCTCTGCTTTCTTATTCTCCACTGTACCTACCACCAGAATCTGGAACTGAACAGAAACCGCTCCATACAGTGGTTAACATGGGAGTCTTCACTCCAAAGCACTTAGTTAGACTCAGCAGAGAGAATAGACAAAGGACAGAAAGGCGACTGAGAGGGACATGGGAGAAGACTGAAGAGGGACTTATCAATTACCTAGTAGAAAATGGATCGAATGGAAGACATGGACCCTTGTTCACTGGGCTGTCCCGCTACCCACAGATGCCAGTCCATATCTCAGAGTCAGGAGCCCAAAAGGCAGAGGTGGTCAATAGTGAGAACCCTGCTATTCACTGACTACTGACTCCTAGCATCCAGAAAGGGGATAACAGTCCTGGGGACATTGGGTGTCACCTCACCCAATTACCACCTCACTATCTGGCCAAGCCAAGCGATGTGGATGAGACCCAGGGAGACAGCACAGGGCCCTCCCAACTCTGATTTGTAAGGTGCCCCTAACCCTGTGATCTGCACCTCAGCCTGGGGTCTAGGAGGCCCTGTCCACAGTCCTGAAGAGGCTGTTCTGAGACTCCAAGTACCAGTTGCACAGCAAGACAAGCACAGCCGAGAATCCAGTATCCTGAGTGGGAGCCAGGCCCTCCCAGGCCAATGCAGGGGTTCTGATTCTGCACAGAGCTGAGAATGGGAAGTGGAAGTACTTTTTCCTGGCCTCTCCTGAGGGCAGCAGCACCCTCTGTCATCATTCTCACGACCAAAAGCTCAAATACCCACTTCTACCAGGCCTGATGAACCCCGTGACCAAGATCCAACTCTGGCTTCCTCACACCTACAAGGCCTGGCACTCTGAGCATTTTACAATACAGCAGAAAAGAAACAGATCCTTAGAAACAGCCATCCTGTCAGTATGACCCCTTATTTCAGAGGCAAGAACTCTGATAGAGACAAACACATCTGTCAGCTGTCTGGGCCTACCCTGCCTCTTCCCTTCAGGTATAAGGGTCTCTAAAGGAACCAGATGTTGATGGTGGGGGGCGGTGGGAGTGTGGAGAAGGCTGGAGGGCAGGAGGTGGGCTGAGGCAGGCTTAGTCTACCGCTGTGCAGGCAAAAAGGCCTGTTCTGTGCTCCAGGCCCAGGCTGGGACGCAGGGGTCTGGGAAAGGCAGCCGTGGCTTCTGGAGGCTGTGAGCTCACTGGGCTGTGTTCCAGAAGGCTGAGTTCACCAGTCCCTCCCTGGAGGCCTCCCTGCCCCCAGCCAAGCCCAGCCCAGTCTGGCCACGTGAGCTGAAATGCCTCAGCCACAAAGACAACTAGTCTGAAGTTAATCAGCACTCCCAGCTCAGGGAGAGACAGGGATCACAGGGGCTGAGCCTGGGCCAGGGGTCAGGAGGGCCCCCCATCACTTCTTACTAAGAGGCAAGGCTAAGAGCATAGAGATACTTTCACAGTAAAAGCACCATGCACAGTTAAGAGCTTTAAAGGAGTTCATAATTTTAAAACATTACTGTAAATTCTACTATTTCTAGGAGTTTATCTTAGAAAATAATCAGAGATAGGCAGAAAAAATACATGTGTCAGATTTCTGACAATTTGGAAACAAGGCTACATTGAATGATGTTTTGTTTGTAAAAGGTATTAATGGAGCAGACTGAGGCGAGGCCCAGGCTCTGCAGCTTCTTTTTGGCCCGCCACCCAGATCACGCCACTCATTTTTATTAACACTCTGCTCTCGGAGTTGGCCTCCCCCAGTATACATAAAATAAAATTAAATTAAATTAAAATAAAATAAAGTAAAAGGAAATGTGTAAACATATCTAGAAAGACTGGAATTCCGCTAGAACTATCAACAGACAATCAAAATAAGTATCCCAGTTTATCTTATAAACACATAATATGTATGCGCTGGCAAGTGGCTTAGCAAGTGAATGTTTAATCACTGTGTCACCAGGGTCTCCTTGGGATAGGGGGACGAATGGGGAATTCTTGTCTAATGGAAGTTCCTGAGTGGCAGTTCATGCTTGACTACTTACTGCCAAATAAAAGGTCTAGCGGTCTGCTTTTATAACATTAAAACCAAACAAATGTGGGATGGGTTCGGGAAGGACCCCAAATCCATTGCCATTGAATGGATTCAGACTCAGCAATTCCCCAGGGCAAAGCAGAACTGCCCAGGCAGCTTCTCAGGCAGCCGTTTTTCTAAAAGCAGCCTGTCGCACCTTTCACCTGCACGGCAGCTGCTGTGTTCAAACTTCAGGAACACCCTGTGGAGCAGTTCCATAGCACATGAGCTCACCATGAACGAGAACTGACTCGACAGCAACCAGTCTGGGGGGTTCTTTTTTTGTTACCAAGTATACAGTGGGATGTAGGACTGTGGTCATAAAAATGAAACAAATAAGGATCGCCAATTGCTAGGTCCTAACAGGAAAGGGAGTGAGCCCTAAAAGGGTCCACGTGCACATATTACCCAAGCCTGTAACAGCCAGACCCACGATGCATGTGAGCACACAGACGTATCTGCTCACCCCCTCACCTGCAGCCGAGTCCTGCAGGACAAGGTCCTCCAGTGCAGGCCAGTCTGTGTTCAGTCGCTTCACTAGTTTGTAAGCATTCACAGGGTGGGCCAGGTAGCCCTCGGGATCAGCAGCTGATCTGCTGGTCAGCGCTTCCATTCTGTTGGCCCAACTGTGGAATCAGAGGAAAGGGAAAAATGTGACCGCTCATACTCTCAACCTGAGGCAGTTTCGATGAGGAGATGCAGGATCCTTTTCATTAAGTTGTTGTTGTTGTTTTGATGAGGAGATGCAGGATCCTTCTCATGTTGTTGTTGTTGTGAGCTGTCGAGCACTTGCAACTCAACAGCTCTGAACCTTGCTCCATCCTGAGCCAGTCTCATTGTCTCTGACACACCTACCCCCATTACCCCAGTCACTGAGTCAATTCATCTCATTCAGGGTCTTTCATCAAGAGGTAATAATAAACACATTATTTCCCCACTGATTCTCCCAGCCCCTTAAACTATATGAGAAGTGAGAAACCAATGTAAACAAAACAGCTTACACTGATAGAGAGGGGAAAGAAAACAAACCAAAATCAGTGTCTCCTTGGCCATCAACCACACCTGGGAAGACTGGCATGAACCAGCAGATGGTGAGCCCTGCATAACCCTCCCAAGAGCTCCATCTAATGGACACCCTCCACGGGCTACTGAGAGGCATGGGGGGCGGAGGTTTTGATTAAGGTAGGCATGAAGACAAGCTATCAATCAGACACCTCTTAATCTTGGAGAGCTTGGCTTCCTCCATAAGGATGTACTCTTTCAGAGACTTCACCAGATCCTTCTCTGCATAAATCAGGTCTGTCATGTGCCCTGTGAGGAAGAGAAGGGACAGTGAGAACGGATGGACATCCAGCCTCCTTCCCTGGAGCACAGACCACCACTCAGGGGAGTGTCAGCTTCCATGAGATCATGGGGCCTTGGAGCACAGGGGCCACAGGCCCTTCCAGGATAAAAGCCCCCAACTTTGGGAGAAAGGCAGAGGTACCCTAAGGGGTACTTGTCATGAGTGCACTGGGAGCCACAGAGGACTTGCTGCTCAGAATTACTCTCTGCTCCAGGGAGAGTGATCAGGAAGACAGAGAGTCCAGTGGCAGCCTGTACTTCCCAGGGAGTAAGTTCAGTGCAGAGAGCTGGCTCCCAGGATATCTACCTCATCAGGACCTCAGAGCAGAAAAGCACACTTCTGTGGGCTCTGCTCTCCCCAGAACTGCTGGAACCAGTGGGTGAGGCTCTCCCGCCCTGAATGGGACCAGGTCTATCCCAAGGGTAGTTTTATAGGTGGTAATGCTGCTGGTTCATACCAATGGAGGTGAAAAATTCGGCCCATGCACAGCCCAGGACATCAAACCAGATCAGCAGCAACATGGACACTTGAGGTTTCATGGTCACACTGGTCAGTGTCTGGAATGTAACATTCATTAGATCAACATAGCAAAAAAGAACAACTTAGGTGACAACACATATACACATGTGTAAACATATGTATGTGTTAAAAAATGCCAAAATCCGAGCCAAGCACAGATGCTAAGAAACATGTTCAGGATTACCATGGGATAGCAGGGAGCCCTGCTGAATTTGTGCTGTCAGCCCCCAGGCATGAAGTTCGAATCCACCAGCTTGCTCCAAGAGAGGAAGATGGGCAATCTCTTCCTATGTGATTTACAGCCTCTGAAAAGCGGCTGGAGGGTCAGCTATGAGTTTGTTCAGACTCAAAAGCACACAGAAACAACTAGTTAGAGTGTGGAGTGTGGAAACAGGGATATATGCTCAGTTCTGGTCCCTGCTCTAGGAAACCATTTGCCCTTGCAAGAGATCCCGTCCGTCTTGACTCCTAATGCCAAACTATTACATGAAAAGGCTGAACATTTTAGCAGTGGGTTCGCCCTGTTCCAGCAGTCTGTCATTCCCTGAATCCTGCCCTTCCTTCTCATTTCCTTTGTCTACTTTAATCTTTCCTTCCAACACTTATTCCAGCACAGAGTCAGATGCTAAGAGCCCAGCTATAACACAGAGCTCCTACCCATAACAGTACAGGAGCTACAATGATAAGAAGAGAACTTGGCACAAAGGACCATAAGTCCCAGGGGACTCACTCTCAGGCTGAAGCTTTCAGATGGCTGGCCAAAACAGAAACAAAACTGAGCCTCGTCAGTCTGCACCTGTCCACAGAAAGCAGTCAGGGGATACAGGAATGGGCAATCCCAGGAACACCTTCCTTTAACTGTGTCTCCACAGGAAAGGCAACGTCTCAAGCTCATTCACAAATATTGACTAAAGGCACTGAACTAAGCACTCAGGATAAATAGATGAATAAGTCACTGTTGGCCCAAAGAGGCCAGCTTCTGTCTTTAGCCTACAAACAGCCAGAGCCAGCTCTTGGGCAACGGACGCAACCAAAGGCAAACCCAGTGGCAATGGATCTGTACACACAATGGCTGCTTCAGACACGGACTCACGACTCAGCTCTGCAGCCCCCAGCACGCTCGGGACGTGAGCTACCCCACAGCCAGGGGCCAGCACCCATCAGGCCCAGCTCTACCAGCCCTTCCTCCTCCCATATCCATTTTGGCCAAACAGTGGGTGCTTAAATGGAAATTTACTAAGAGAAAACAAAGGAAATGCAGATGCTTCCCCCCAAATCTAAGACTTATCTGAGCTGACTAATGCATGTCTATCAATTTTCTGCCTGCCATAGCCTATTAGGCACACAGTCACGCTCGCCATTCCTCACCTCACTGTCTTAGAAGAGATTCTCAATCTGCTGCAGTGCCAGATTAGGCTGAGAGAAGCCCAAGCACAACCCTCACCCCCATGCAGGCACCTTTGTCAGGAAGAGGTGGGAGTATGTGAATGGCCCTATTTCTCGTGTCCCTAACAGAGATCTGCAGAGCTGGCAGCATGCTAGTAACTGCACTAAGAGTTGAGGGCATAGAGACCTCTCAACCCAGAGGTAGGGACAACTAGGCAAAGGGGGTTTCTGCAGAGTTAAGAGTTAAAGGAGAGAGTCATTGAGAGAAGTCAAACAGACATGACTGCCATCCCTGTGTGACCACAGGTCTGCTCTGAGGAGTCTGGCCATACTGCCTTTTCAGCCAAGGATTACTTACTTACAGAAGACCTCTCTATTTTGCTTACACAAGTCCTTTCACTTCAAGGGGTGGGTTTTGTTCTTTGCACCTAAAGAGGCTTAGCCATTTCAGGATGAGAGGATGAGACCTCCTGCACGTATGTGTATACAGAGGGGGTATGTGGACAGTGAGCTGGCTGCCCTCAGAGCTGGAACAGAAGGAATGCACGATGCTGGACGGAGATCAGACTAGACGTAGTTGGAGATTGGAACTTGGGCAGGGAGAGTGTGAGAGAGAGAGAGAGAGAGAGAGAGAGTGTGTGTGTGTGTGTGTGTGTGTGAGAGAGAGAGAGTGTGTGTGAGAGAGAGAGAGAGAGATAGAGATAGAGACAGAGAGTGAGTGTGCGTGTGTGTGAGAGAGAAAGACAGAGACAGAGACACAGAGAGAGCATGCGTGTGTGTGTGAGAGTGTGTGTGTCTGAGAGACAGAGAGAGACAGAGAGAGACAGAGACAGTGAGTGTGTGTGTATGTGTGTGAGAGAGAGAAAGAAAGAGACAGAGAGTGTGTGTGCGCACGCGCGTGTGTGTGCACACATGCACGCACCTGCTCTCCACCTTTCACAGGTTTGTTGTTAGTTACAGCCATACATCTCTGCAGAGATCAAGTTGTAGTTCTGGGGAGGGAGACATCTATCCACTCCTTTCAAATCACCTGGTGATACTGTCCAAGGTACATTCCTGACAGCATCAGAAAGAACAACCAGGTTTCTTCATTACATGAATGCCAGCTGTCATTTCTCTGGAATGTGCTGTGTGGCTTAAACTGAGCCCATCCACGAATCCTGGCCTGGAGGCAGAGGCCCAAAGAATCACAGATAGGATTCTGGAAAATGGCTTACCATGAGCATGCCAAGTCCTGCTCTGGCTAGGGGGAAGGGAAAAACGGCTCTGCTGGCACAGAGCGTTATGCAGCTCCCAGCCCACTGCAGCCACAATGCCACTCTAGGAAGGGATGTCCAGAACCCCATCCCACTGCTCCTGATCCTAGGACCCTGAACACAACAGGTGTTGAACAAAAGAATCTCTTATTAGAGCCACACGACACCCAAGATGGACTACAGCCCAAAGTGTAGGAAAGGTCATCTGCCTCCCCACCCCCACCCCATCTCCTACCTAACACCCAGACGTCACGTTGGACAGGAGAGGTAGGAAAATGTGTGCCTGCCTGTGCGAACACAAGTGTCTATCTAGCGCTGCCTGCCACAGGCCTCCAGGGACTCAGAAATGCATGAAGGAAAGCCCGCAGGTGAGCAAAGCCCCCTTGAAAACAAAAATATACCAGGCTTAAGGAGAAAATCAGTATCGTGTTTTAGCTGAGCCACATTCCAGAGTTTCAAACAACCCAGAGAGCAAAATACAGCAGAAGATTTTAGAAATTACATTTCTTCCACAAAATGGTTATGGAGCTATTACCAATGAATGATGAATGTCTATGAGCATAGATTGAAGATGGAAACAAAACAGGCTTCCACAGGCTGTGAGTCCATTTTTTGAAGAAAAAAGTATTGTGTTTGCTCGGTTCCACAATCAACGTTCTTGACACCAGCAGTCAAAAAATCAAAAGACGAACTGCGTTAGGAAAATCTGCTGTCAGGGACCTCCCGAGAGCAGTGAAGAGCAAGGATGTCAGTCTATAGACTAATGTGTGCCTGATGCAGGTCAAGGTCTTTGCAATTTCTTACGATGCTTCAGAGAGCTGAACAATGACCAAAGATGACAGAAAAAGCATTGAGGCCTTTGAGTTGTGGTGACTGCCAAGAGAACTAAGATTATGTCTTGGAGACGGTGAAACAAAGCTGTGCCTTGGAGGCAAGGATTTTGAGACTCCATCTGACATACACTGGGCATGTTACAAGAAGGGACAAGTCCTTAAAGGAGGACATCATGCTTAGATGGGTGGAAGGACAGCGCAGGAGAGGAAGACTCCAGATGAGATGAATTGACATAGTAACTGGATGGAGTAAGGTGAGTCAGAAACAGGTAGGTGTGTCAAAAACAGTGAGACTGGCTCAGGATAGAGCAAGGTTCAGAGCTGTTGTGCATAGAGTCTCTATGAGTGATAGTCAACTCGACAGCACATAACAACAAAAACATGCAAGAAGAAAGCTGTATCTTAAAGTTATTTTTCTTTTTCTCGTTATGCTTGTTTGCACTGCCAACTCAAAGACATGCAATTTTAATTATTTTTCATTTTAATGCCTCAGCTGTTCCACAGGAGAAAGATGGGCAGTCTCTTCCCATGCAATTTACCACCTCTGAAAACCCTCTGTACAGTGAGCTATGAGTTGGTTCTGATTCCATGGTACCCAACAACAACAATCTTTGTCTAAGGAATTCTACATTGTTATTGTTAGGTTCCATCAAGTCAACTACAACTCATAGTGACCCTGTGAACATCTGAACCCTGTCCTCTCCTGTACCATCCTGATCATCTCTGCTATGCCTGAGCCTACTGTCAGTCCTGAATATCCACAGACTGTCAAAAGAACGAGCAAGTTTGTCTGAGAAAAAGTGCAACCAGGCTGCTCCTTAGAGGCCAAGATAGTGAAACTTCATCTCACATACTTTGGACACATCGTCAAAAAGGGATCAGTCCTTGAAAAAAAGATATTATGCCGGGGAAGGTGGAAGGACAGAGAAAGAGAGAAGGAGGAAGAACATCTATAGCAACTATGAAAACATTTTATGATATGCTTCAAATGAAAAGGAAACAAAGTAGGTCCTTCTAAAATGTATTCCAACAAGAAGTGGCAGCCCACAGTCTAGACCCCTTTGGGGAGGTGGCCCCAAACCTGCCAAAACCAGCAACAGTGATTCACCCACCAGGCGTCTGACAGCTTCTAAGTATTGGGTAATTCCAAGACACACAGCCAGAGGCCCCTCTAAGCCTGCTCTTTGGAAAGGATGTTTGCAACCTGGCCAAATGGCCCTGCAAAGACGTTTCCAGCTGCAAACTAACAGCGTCCTTAGCTTCTCCCCTTACCTCATCGGGCAAGACCTTCTGCCAAGCTCCCAGCTGCAAACCAAGTGCAACAGCTTGAGTTTTAACAATGTATTTAACAGCCTAGAGACAGAACATGGTTTTGCTGAGAATAAACAGGTCTCAGCTTAGTAGTGAACAAGAGAATGCCTGCCTTCTGCGCAGAGGCAAAATCTGCCTCAACAAAGTTTGCTGTGTCCCTAACTCCAACGGTGTAGCCAACTCCTGAAGGCAGAGCAGAGGACCCTGTGTGCTCACCGGGCACACGTCTCACCTGGAAGAGCTCTTCAGGGC